GACTATCCCTGTTGAATAAGCACCACTCTCTTGACTTTATTATTGTTATTGAACCTATGCTTGCTTCTTCTAAAGGACCAAATATTGGCTTCTCAATTGGTCTTAATGGCTTTCTTATTACATGCAATAATAGAATTTGGTTATATTGGAACAAGGAGAAATTTATTCTCTTGGATCATTTTGAGCAAAACCAGGTTTCTCACTTCATCATGAAGGTTTTTCAAGATGATTCAACCTTTCTCCTTAGTGGGGTGTATGGAGGACATTCAGTGGTTTGTAGGAAAGGACTTTGGGAGGAAATCAAGACCTTTAATAACTCCAATTCTCTTCCCTGGCTAATAGGAGGAGACTTCAATGCCATTTCAGATATCCTTCACCACCAAGGGAAGAAGCTCCCTGACTTGGAAAGTGTGGAGGACTTCAATTCATGTATTAAAGATTGCAATCTTCTTGAAAGTAATTTCACTGGTCCAGTATTTACGTGGCATGGAACTAGAAGTAATGGCAAGGTGTGGAGGAGGTTAGACCGGATTTTTTTCAATGACAGGTGGAACAATCTTTGGACAGATATCTCAATGAAACATCTTTCAAAGCAAGGCAGTGATCATTCTCCCATTCTAATCTCCTCCAAAACTTCAGCAACTTCAGCCCCAAAGTCCTTCAGGTTTCAAAACATGTGGCTTCTTAATAAGGACTTCAAGAATTTATGTAAATCCTGGTGGTCAGAAATCCCTTATTATGGAGGAATGAAATGCCTCTTCCATAAACTGAGCCACCTCAAATCCAAAATTGCATCCTGGAATACGGAACAATTTGGAAATATTTTTGACATGTTGAAAGAAGCTGAAGAAGAGGCCTCTGCAGCTGAAATTAACTATGAGAGGGAACCTACAGAGGCTAATAGAGAAATTGTCAATCTGAAAAAAGCTCAACTTTTGGAGGTTGGAAATTTGGAACATAGCTACTGGAAACAAAAATGTAATCTCAAGTGGCTTAAAGAAGGTGATGCTAATACCAAATTTTTTCATAATTTGGTCAAAGAGTCTCATGGGCTTAAAAGATGATCAAGGGAAGTTTCAGGAGAATCCAACAGTCTTAGAAAATATGGTTACTTCATACTACCATAAACTGTTCAACTATGAGGAACCTGCCCCCTCATCTCAAGATTATGATGCTTTCCTGTCCAACATCCCAAAAATTTTAGATCAACATCATAACCAGGAGCTGTTACATCTCCCTTCAGAAGATGAAGTCAAAGCCACCCTTTTTGATATGGAAGCCAACTCTTGTGCTGGTCCTGATGGATTTAATGTCAACTTCTTTAAAGAATGCTGGGAAATTGTGCACAAGGAGGTCACATCTGCCTGTCAGAAAGTTTTCTTGGGCATCCCACTACCTGTAGCTGCTGCAAGTACCAATATTTGTCTTATTCCCAAATGTGAAAATGCCTCTAGACTCAATGACTTTAGGCCGATTTGTTTATCAACTGTGGCCTCCAAAATTGCTACAAAATGCATTGCCAGGAGACTTAGCAAAGTGCTTCCTTTGATCATCTCTGAAGAGCAAGGGGCATTTGTTGCTGGAAGGGATATCATGGAGCAGATTCTTCTCACTAAAGAAATGGCTCATAACATTGATAGAAAGGCTGAGAGTGGTAACATTATTGTTAAATTAGATATGGCCAAAGCCTTTGATAAGTTAAAATGGTCCTATCTCATTGATATACTTCAAAGGTTTGGTTTCTGCCCACAATTCTTAACTATGATCAAATGCCTCCTTCATGCATCCAAATATTCCATTCTTCTCAATGGGAAACCTTGTGGTTTCTTTGGCCAAACTAGGGGAATTAAACAAGGGGACCCCCTCTCTCCCCTCCTCTTTATTATTGCTAATGAAGGCTTCTCCAGGAATATTAATTATCTGTTTCAAACTGGCTCCTTGGGTAGATTCAACTGTGGCAGAAACAGCATTCCTGTTACCCATTTGGCTTATGCGGATGACCTCATAATCTTCACCAATGCTCATACCAGATCTGTTAGCAACTTGAAGAAATTCTTGACTAAATACCAGCAGGTTTCTGGTCAAACTATTAATTCCTCTAAAAGCAGCTTTATGGTTTGGAAAAAATTTAATTCTCAGAGGATAAGGAAGCTGGAACAACTGTTAAACATGCCACATAGAAAACTTCCTTTTTCCAACCTGGGCAGCCCTATCCATTCTGGCATCACAAGGAAACAACACTGTACAAGGTTGATATCTTCCTTTGACAAGAAACTTAATGGATCGTATCAAAAGAACTTGGACCAAGCAGGTAGGTTAATCCTTCCTTAATACCATCCCTAACTACTTCTTGGCTGCAAACACTCTCCCAAAAACCATCACCAACCTTCTCCATCAGAAAATGACAAGTTTCTGGTGGGGTGGTGGCAAGAAAAATCATCATTGGCTGAAATGGGAGACTCTTTCCTTACCAAAGGAAGAAGGGGGAATAGGCACAAGAGATTTCCATGCCTTAGAGGAAGCCTTTAGTCTCAAATTATGGTGGAAATTCCATCATAATAACAGCCTTTGGGGGAGGTTCATGAAGGCTAAATATCAAAGAAATGGGGATATGGAATGTCACTTAGTGGACCTCCTATCTAGACCAGGATCTCCAAGATTAACACCAAAGCTCTCAATCACTGCCACATAACTGAAGAAGAGAGTTTTATTTAGAACGAAGATCAAACTGAGGATTTCACCCTTGGGAGTGCCTATGAGATTTGCAGGCCTAAATCTAACCCTTCCTTTGCGTTTCAATGTATTTGGGAATCCCCACAAAAATCTAAGATAAGCATCTTCATGTGGAAACTTTTACGCAAATGCCTCCCAATCCCTGATAATCTTAGAAGGTTGAGTTTTTCTCTTCCTTCTGTGTGTCCTTTCTGCAGGAATTCAAGCCTCTCAGCGAAACACTGCCTGATTGATTGTGATAAGATTGTTGATATATGGAGATACTTCGCTGGCTGCTTAAACTTCCTTCATACAGAATCACCCACTATCAACCAACATTTTATGAACTGGTGGTTGAGAAACACGCCTAATCTTTATGGTCTACTTCGAAAACATTTACCAGGAATCATTACTTGCCACATCTGGAAGAAGATGAATGAGATTATTTATGGGGACTGTCACATTATTAATGTTCAAAGCCTTATTCATCAGGTTGCTTCTTATACCAAACAATGGCTATCCATCAAGACTCCCCGGAAACTTCAACATTTTGATTCGTGGCTGTTCAATCATAATCTTATTCCCAGGTTCACAACCAACAACTCAGTTCGCATGGTTAAATGGATGGCTCCTCCTAAAGGGAGACTTAAGCTAAATGTGGATGCGTCCTACACTATTAAATACCAGAGAGGGGCGGCTATCTTAAGAGATGCCGAAGGAAGATTGGTTCGAGGGGCCTCTTTCAAGCTAAACACTAAGAGTGCCTACCAAGCTGAGGTGGAAGCTGCTATTAAGGCTATTAAATGGGCTCTCCAGATTTCCAATTCATTGGTTTTCGAAACAGATGCAAGGTCTATTATTTCCAGAATCCCTAAGTTCAAACAACACTCAAGGTCTTCTTTCCCAATTGACATTTTGGGTCAAATTATACTCCAAAATGGGATCCAGGTTTCTCATATTCTCCAGGAAGGGAATTCGGTGGCGGATGCTCTTGCAAAGGTGGACAGGCCTAATGACTCCCCTTTCATAGAATATTTACATATTAACCTTTGCCCGGATGTTGTTAAAAATAATCTGTATCATGATTGTAACCCTTCTTTCTGTTTTCATTAATAAAACTTGATTTCTTTGTGGAAATAAATAAATAAATAAATAAATAAACATATATATATATATATATATATATATATATATATATATATATATATATATATATATATATATATATATATATATATATTAAAAATTAAAAATGTTGACCCTTGAAAAAAATGGGCCTGGGTCGGTAAGACACTTTAACCTACCCTAGAGTTGGCCCTGTGTGTACCAATGGGTGTATACTCTAGGCTATAAAAAGTATCGCATTCCCATAGTAACGTTACTGTTGTTGCACACTCCTGCAGAGTTTTCAGATATTCATCTCTTGACTACACATGCATTGTTTATACACAGAGTACAGAGTATCAACTACTCCCTCTGTCCGGAAATGTAACACCCGCCTTCCGTGGACCCGGTTCACCCGTGACCTAACGGACAGGTAGGGTTACATGGGCGGTCCGAGAACCGTCCGTAGAGAAAAACGCATTAATGTCTATTTATTGTGAAAACGGTTACGTTTAATTGGTGAAAAAAAGTGTGTGATATAAATGCAGAGTAAAAGCGGAAGTAAATGAATAAGTCCAAAATAAGTAAAACGACATATGATGGGTTCATGCCCAAAAGATTAATTAATTCAAATGATTATAATTTTTAAACTCGTCCGTGCGCCGCCCATCTTCCCATCATCACTGTCCTCCAGGGTTAGCACCTGTACCGTCATGTCTACCTGCGTGTAGTAAAAACAACAACACGCTCAGCAAAAGCTGAGGAGTGAATCTAACAAAAGAACATTAAGTGATAACCCATATGGCCATACACATATTAATACCTGTACTTAACGTACGGAAAACCACATGTTTACTAACTGCTCAATTTGTACTTGATGGGATACTATTACACATAACAAAATGATATATAACCACAAAATGATATGACTTGATGTGACGTGGAACATACATGATGACAATATGACTTGATGCATGACTTAAACTATCAGGGACACCCCTGGCTTAGTCTCACTTGACAGGATCACCCCTGCACTCCGGTAATGAGACAGGCTTGACGAAAATGTCGCAAGTGAACTAGCAAAACTGGGTGGTAGCCGTAACCTGACTATCATGTACGTACACAAAGCCCACCTGATGAAAACCCGTTTGATCCCAAAGGTTCCTGGACTGGCCCACTATAGTAGGCGCACGGAAGCCTGACCTTCCTACAACAGTATGCACATGATGATGAACCTAGTACATGCGTCTATGATGAACAGGATGAATGCTTGATATATTTACCTTTGGTCAATGCCAAGAATATATCAATTAAATAAACATACATAATGATTATTAACATTTCATGCAACATACATCAGATTCTGGGTCAATATGGTCAACGGGACTCGTTCTACAAACTGCCCGGAATTCTGCCCGCGGAACGGTCGACCGTGCCCTATCGGCGGTCGACCGTGGGCTATGGTCTGGGCATGGGTCACAAACGGTCCACCTAGGTCTTCCGTCGTGGCTGACGGTCGACCGTCCCGGCGGTGACCGTTGGACTGGCCGAGGGTACGGTCCACCGTCTGAGGTAACGGTCAACCATCCTGGTGACAGTCTTCTGTCCTTGGCTACGTTTTGATCCATTTTGCAAACTTAACACCTTGATTCTTTTTAAAACAATAATGTAAACATTAATGAATATATTCCTAGTGATTCCTAGGCCAATATATATGATTTTTATGTAGTGAACGTTTTGATGGCTAACCTACGAACATGCATAGATTCTACGTAGGTTGCGTACGATATTCCTATGAATATAACGACATAGTTATAACTAAATGTTCTAGAATTAGAGGGGACAACTACTCACCTCTAAACGAAGGGTTTGATGAACCGGAAAACGAGATGGACGGTTGACAATGAACCAACGAACGGACGAACGGACCACCTCCTACGTGACTTCCCTTCTCTTCTACCTTCCGCCTACCCGCCGGAATCCTCTAAACGATGCGTTGAAACTACGAAGATGACGAGGAATGATGACTACGCTTCGCACGAACGGCCTAGCTCTTCTTCTCCTTCTTCTCCTTCAACCGTGTACCCACGGGAGCTTCGCCGGAGACTTTCTTGGGCGGCTGCCTTGGCCGAACAATGTAAGGGAAGAGGAAGAGAGAGTGAGAGAGTTATGGGAATGGGGGTTACAATTGTTAAGGATATGAAGGGGGAGGAGCTATTATAATGATGAGGAGTAATGTGGAGTTTATGGGGGAGTGAATGTGGAGAAATGAATGGCTTGGAGAGGGGAGTGGCGTGTAGGCATAAGTGGGGAATTAATTCCCTAAATTCTATTCCGTTATGTAAAAATCTGACCTGAACAGTACGTGGTTTTCCCCCAAACGGGTCCGAATTGAGATCCGTTAGTATTTCTGGAATCAGTCAGTCAAGACGAATTTAATGACATGTTCAAATAATTTTTCTAAGAACTTTATTTTTCAAACTTCCGGGTCCACGCCAATCATTAATTAATTTATTTAATTAATTAATTAATGTTGAGAGGTCCGTTATTAAAACATCTTTTTATATTTAAAAAAAACACATTAACTTTTGAAGTCCATCTAATGAGATCAAAATCTCAATATTTATTATTTAAAACAATGAGTCTCAATAAATAAATAATATTTATTTATTTAAAATATTGGCTCGCTAATAGGCCGGTTTGTAGGGCGTTACAGGAAATGTTCTTCACATTTGACTTTTCTTGGTCAAAGTTTATAAACTTTGACTACGATTTGTAGAAAAAACACATTGTATTATGATGTAAACTTAATATCAATATATTCATAATGAAACGTAGTTTTCAAATATCAAATTTTTATAATATATATATATGTATAAATATAGATATTAATGGTCAAAGTGCAATATTGGAGACTGTGAAAAGTCAAATGGGAAGAATATTTCCGGACGGAGGGAGTATTATTCAATTTGTCCCAATTTAAATGATCTGTTTATTATTCATAGTGTCAAATTTCTATTACTTTTCTTACTCATTTTCGTTATTTAAAAGATAAAATTACATAGTCAGAGCACTTCTTATTTTGTTTTTTGATATAGTGTTTTGAATATATAAAATTTTATTTTAGTTCTGCCCTAAATTTTATATAAATTCATTGAAAAATAAATACAGTCAAATATCGTAAACAACAACATGCAAATTAAAATGGGATAGAGAGAGTAATAGTTTGTATTAGCTGATTAAATGGCGGGTTGAGTTAGTTGTTATGACCAATTGCATATATTAGCTTTTAAAAAATTAGTATTTAGTAATTTAGCTATTCATAAATAGATGTTCCTAATGAAAAAAATACTTCCTCCATTCTAAAATGAACTTCAAAGTTCGGTTTACGAGGTTTGACTGTAATTATTTTTAATTCAATTTATTTGATTATAGGTATAAAATTTAAATATAAAAATTATATATTTAAAACTACATCAAAAGTTCTACAAAACAAGATGTGACGTGAGTATATTATTTAATCAAATAACTAGCGAAAATAGTTTTAAAAAAAGTGATTAAAATTTAAGCATGTGAATAGTAACTAGAAAGATCATTTTAGGATGGAGGGAAGATATTTAGTTATAAATATAAATTTAATAAACTTAACTTCATTTTACATTAAACGGAGTACTTCGTATTTCATGATTTTGAAATAACAAAACTTTATAACATTTATTTCTTTAAAATTATATTTTCTTGAGGTATCTCCCAGGAAACTATTTAACCCATAATAGTCCCTCTGATCCAAATTACTTGTCGAGTTTGGCGTTATCGAGTTTTGTAAATTGTTTCAAAGTTCTTCCAGTTTGACTCAATGAGAAGCAGTACAAGCAACCAAGTTTTGAACCCCAAACCCTCTCTATTTGTAGGCAAATATCCTACCAACTAACTAGGGAAATCTAGGTATATTCGTGTGAAAGCCTCAAAGAAAGTTTCTACATATCGTTTGCACTTCTTTCATAATTTTATTTGGGACCACAAATAGACTACACCAAAAGACACGTTACGTCGAAAATACTAGTATTGAAATAAAAAATAAAACTTACATACATCCTCTATCTCTAAACGAATTACACAGTTTACTATTCAAAAATTAGGAGAACTTTTGTTTATTGGTGTGATTTCATTGACTATTGATGAAATAAAATATTCTTGACACCTCTTATTTTGTAGAACTTTTGATAGAATTTTTAAATATGTAAGTTTTATTTTCTATTCATATACCACTCTTAAAAGAATGAATTGAAAAAAAATGAGATTTCACCTTGTTTTGCGTAGAAGATAAATGATTTAGGGCTTGTTCTTTAGAGGTTGAACTCTTAACTTCCAGTTTCTTCCAGTTCATTCAAGTTTCATCCAATTTCTTTCAGTTTCTTAAAGTTCCTTCTAGTTTTTTCAAGTTTTTTCCAGTTCCTTCCAGTTTTTTCCAACAATTTTTATTTTCTTTCAACTTTTTCTACTTTCAGATAAATTACTCTAAAAATGATATTATTATTATTATTATTATTACAACTATTATGTTTATAACTATAGTTTATAAATGATTTACTCATTATTATTTTTTCTTCAACTTTTTAATATGAATAGTACCATTTTTTGTGTATTAATCTACATGATAAAATAAGAAAATATCGATATTTTAAACTATTTAAAAAATTATGGATAAAATAGTTACATAGAATATTTTTTAGTATTATAAAAACTATACTCCGTATTTAGTATCTTCAATTAAGCTTAACTGCATTGTAGAATATATTAATTGTTATTTCATCTCTAAACTACTTCATTGCATTTTTAGTTTGTTTATTAAACAACATCACCTTGGCCCTATCTTCCGTTGTTTGCTGTCTCGATAAAATTGGTATTCCTTTTTTATGAAGATGAATGAAATTGTGCAAAGTGCGTGTTGCAATAACAATTTGAATTTGGTGCTCCTGTTTCATTTTAGGCATCCTATGGTGCAAAAGTAGGTTTTGTGTATGAAAAATAACAATATTTTTTATCTTAAAGGCATTCATTAAGATAACGTGATGATAACAACAACAATAACAATAATTTATAACAATAAGAATTAGAATGAGAATAATATAAAAATATACAAAAAAATTAAATTTCTACCCAGAGTAATTTTTTTCAATTCTTTTTAATTTTTGTCGGTTTCTTCCAATTCATTCTAGTTTCTTCTAAGTTACTTTCAGTTTATTCAATTTTTTTCAATTCTTTCCAAAATTTTCCAATTTCTTCCCGTTTTTCCCATCCACAAATATTTAAAATCTAGTTTGAAAGTTTTGAGTAAATTCCATAAAAGGTCCCTAGTTATAGGTCGTTTTACATATTTAGTCCCTACATATCAAATATTACTAGTTTAGTCCCCAATTATTATATTCATTTCCACAAATGGTCCTTTGTTAACATTTCCGTTAAGAACGTGGATAAAATTTTAAATTCACACTCCTTTCTCTCCTCAATTAAACTTCCTTCCTCCCCTCGCATTCTTTTCCCAAACCCGTCGTTGAGTTTGAAGCTTTAAAACCAAACCGAAATCATTACTCTTCTCTCAGTTGTTTGTCTAACTGGTGGAACCCAAATTCGAAACCCGTAACCTTCATGGATGAGTTTTAATGTTTATTTTCTTTGTAATTTTTTGAGACTAATCGATAAGACTCATCCATAAAGCTTATTAATTTTGATTTTAGGTTCCACTAGGAAGACTAATAGTTGAGAGAGGAATGAACATTTCAATTTTGGGTTTAAAACTTCAAACTCAGTGACGAGTTTGGAAAAGAGTATGAGATGAGGGAGGGAGCTTAATTAAGGAGAGAGAAGTATGAATATACAATTTTATCCATGTTCTAAACAAAAACGTTAACAAAGGACCATTCGTGGAAAATGATATAATAATTTAAGACTAAGGCCCCGTTCCGTTCAACTTATTTTTTCTTATTTTTTCTTATTCTTATTAAAATCAGATCAGATCAGACCAGATCAGATCGAATCAGATCAGATCATATCAAATCCAATCAGATCAGATCAGATCCAATCAGATCACATCAGATCAGATTCAATCAGATCAGATCAGATCAAGAATTATTAAAATCAGATCCCATTAAGAATTATTATTATTATTATTATTATTATTATTATTATTCTTATTCTTATTATATTATTATTATTATTGTTATTATTGTTCTTAAAAATTAAAAAGAATAAACTTTAGAAACAGGTTAAATAGAAAACTGAGAAAGTAATCCTTAATTATTAGACGTCGGAAAAATTAGTTTTAAAATACATTGGCAATGTCAATATAGTTCCACTTTTAAAATATATTTTTATTGTTATTTGTAATTTGAGTTTATAAAGTTTTGATCTTTTATAAAGATGAGATATTTTAATAAAAATACTATCTCTTCTTTTTATTGATTATCTAAATTTAATTACTTTTCAATGTATATATAAATTAAATATTTATTCTAATGTATATATGAAGTAATTATTAAAATATTAAATTAATATTCTAATTTCACAAAAAAATAATGATAAAATAAAAAATATTATTACATTATAATATGAATGATTATTCTAATATATGAATTAACTAATTTTATTTTATTAAAAAGTAATCATTAAATAAAAAATATTGATTATATTATAATATAAATTATCATTACAATTTTCAAACGTTATTATAAAGTCAAATCAAATTATTGATTTGAATTTTAAATCAAATCATAATTAATCAGATCAGATCAGATCCAATCAGATCAGATCCAATCAGATCAGATCTAATCAGATCAGATCAGACCAGATCAGATCAAATCCAATCAGATCAGATCGGATCCAATCAGATCAGATCAGAACTTATTAAAATCAAGTCAGATCAGAAAAAATAAGTTAAACGGAACAGAGCCTAAACTAATACTCCGTAATATTTAATATGTAAAAGGACTTATAAAGCTTTTATTAATTTACTTTAAAGTTTTATAATCCGTAATCATCATCCCATCCCAATCTCCATGCTCCCATGGCCATGTCTACACTTCTCTCCCTCGCTCCCAACCCTCTAACACCCATAGCCAATTCCATTTCAGAACCCATCGTCTCTCCAAAACCCAACTCCCTCTCAAGAAGGTTTCTGTTCTTCACGAGCTCCGTTTCGCTGAGCTCTTTTCTCTACTTGCCCCTTCAACACCCGCTTCCAGTATCTTCTGCCGAGGCACCACCTCCACCCCAGTCTTCATCATCATCCTCTAATTCTTTTCTGTCAGGCATTGCCAACACCAAGTCTTGGTTCCAGCTCTTCGGTGATGGCTTTTCCATTCGGATTCCGCCTCAGTTTGAAGACACCATAGAGTCTGAGGTATGCAGGGTTTACTTTCTTCTTTCATCAGTTGTGCTCAATCTCAGTTCCAGTAGAAGTTATATTCAGATCCAGAAGCTGTCATCTTTTAGCTAATTGAAGCTCACATAGTCAAGTCGTGCCCTGAGAGANTGCTTCTGCTTTGACTAGTTTTGTACGTACAAGAATAATTTACAGCAATTTTCCAATAGAGACTTATATGCTCACTTAATGGAAGTTATGTCCTTTCCAATGGAGACTCAGAAATGAATTGCTCACTACCCTCACACTTCTTGTACATAGGATTGTATGGTATAATTTTCCACTCCATAAACAACATCAAACAATGACATTACCCATGGAGCTAAACGGGTCACTTTGACAAGATTTTTTTCCGGAGTAAATAATGGAGTAATGGACTAAATAAAAATGGCACCTAAACTTCTCTTGTTTCTTACTCTTGATGAAGTTTTGGGCAGCGAAAGCAACAAGCCAACAATGCATCAAAGGGTCTAACAGAAATAACCTTTGTGTTTTTAGGGGTAAGGTTGTGTACATCTGACCCCTAAAACCCCAACGGAGTTGGGATTTTACTAGGGTTGTTGTTGTTGGTGGTGGTGGTGGTGTATAAACAACATCAACCTATAAGATTAAATAAACCCTTATTTTTGAAAAAACACAAAATAATCAACTAAATTTGGACATATAGCACCTGGATGTATGATTGGAAACGTGATCAACTCACCTTGTTAAAGTTGAAGGTCTTCCATTATAAGTAGTAGGTGACACAAGCACACATTTGGGATATTTTCAAACATCTTACTCGATCTCGTGGCTAAGAAAAAGAGCAAACACCAAGGAACCATAAACTATACGTAGTAACTGAGAAGAGAAGAATTATTTTCTGTTCCTTTTTTTCTCGTATCATAGAGTGAAGCATCCCTTCTCTACTTATAGAGAACAGGGATAAGGGGAGCAGTCGTGTACATTCCCTATGATCATGTACATTTAGTAGTTGGCGGTTTGAACCAATGTTTCACACTCGCATGCATCATATCATATCCATTGAGGTCTTCTTTTGAGCTTGGTATGTTGCATTCACAAGAAAATACTCCGGAGTAGTTTTGGATACAGTTTGTGGGCCATCTTAATCTAATGATTGGTTTTTAGAAAGTCAATGCTGGGTTGCTGCTGTACGGTGATAAAGCAAAACCAAAGACTTTTGCTGCACGTTATGCATCTCCTGATGGGTAGTATACTTATCTTGATCTCTCTTGCTCAACCAACCTTTTTTTATGTCTCTTATATTGAAACTTCAAATGTTTTCTTTCTAGAAGCTAACGCTTGATGTCTTTTGGTATCTGCAGCACACTATTATTTCATTGAAAATTGATGAGCAGGCATTTTATGCTGTTCTTCAGTGCTATTTTGCTGGTTCTAATTATTTGGAACCTATCTTACGTAGACAATGGCTTTCACGAATCCCTTTCAGGGAATAAAAGTTTTCCATTTTATGTTTTGAAAATTCTTGCTCCTCATTAGTTGTCCCTCCTCAATTATTGTTTCATCTAAAAATACTTGCATGTGTTCTTTAAGGATAGATCTGAAGTTGTTAGCGTTGTGATTCGCCCAGCTAATCAACTCAAGATTACCTTCTTGGAGGTTTGTGAAATTAAATTGCTTTGCCTAACTCATTCCACATTAATCTTCATGCTGAGACTGTTTTCATTAATCTAAGAATAATATATGTTATGGTGTTTTTTCTTGTTGTTTGATTTGTGGTTTGAAACTGGGAATTGAAAATGGAAAGTGAGGACTTCTTTCAAGGTTCTATTTGGGAATCTTTATGTATTGATGTCATTGTTGTCAATCTTCTTGCCAGACTTCACTTCTATGCCTACTTTCAGTATATTTGGGTTGTGGGTTGCTGGATTCAACTTATCTTGTAAATTGTGATTCATTGTAGTGGACTAGTGGTAAGGGAAAACAATGTGGAAAAAAAACATATATAAGTAAAAAAAAAGATAATGCACCGCAAACCCCAAACTTCCAAGAGAGCCATTCAGAAAAGAGGATGGTGAGGGAGAGGACAGGAAGGAAAGACTTGTGAGGCTGTGGAATGTGGATAGGCAGCAAAGAAAGTGCTATATGCTAACATCATAGTTTTGAAGACATACACACAGACACACAGTATATATAAGATATATAGTTATATTGCAGCAGATATTATGTGTTGCATATTCTAAAGTCTGAAACACTACATAAGTGTCAAGAGAAAACAATATGCTGCCACTACATGACAAGGGAACAACTCTTAAAAGCTATTACACATTCTAAAATATTGTAGGATAGATCGATAAACATAATCTTCCTCACTCAAATTCAAATCACCATCATTCATTGTGTTGCAAACACCAATGGGTTCACACTCTTCTCATCAATAAGACGTTGAGTGTTGGTAGATCTTGACGGGTGTGTTGTTTGTGTTGAAGTACTTGGACCCCTCTTTATGTTGAAGTACTTGGAACACTGCTCTTCAGCTTCAGATGCTCTACAAACACCACCCACACATATTCAACTAATTGCCTCTTCTAAACATTCATCACCAAACCAACCACTCTCTTCAATCATTTATATATTAGCCAGTGATATGAGATTAGTCACGTCTCACATTTTTTGATGTTTTGTAAGTGCTCTATTGTACTTCACATAATTACAACACGTAATTGGAAATTACTACATGTGTTAACCATCTAATGAGTAATGATAATACACATACAACATGTAATTGGAAATTACTACTTGTCTCCTAAATAATTACTTAATCCCTCTGTTGGGTTATGGAACCCAAGGGTAGGGGAAGAAGGAGAAATATGTGTAGGAGATGAAGAAGATGATGAATAGTGGTGAGCCTCCCTCTTTTTTCCCCCTCCCTCCCCTCTTCCAAGAAGAGGGTATAAATAAGGAGAATGAGGGCTAGAGTTTCGAACTAATGGGCCGGCCCAACAGACTGGGCCGCCCTTAAATAAATAATTAACGAACGACTAATGGGCCGGTCCAACAGACTGGACCGCCCCAACTAATATTATACAAAGATCGGATACCCCTGTCCAGGGTATCCATCACCCTCCATCTTGTATCATTCTTCCATTATTGACTTGGCACGACTTTTAATGTAAGATTTAAAAGTTCTTGACTTTCCTCTTTTGCCCTTAAGCACCTCTTCCACTACACTGCTTCACCATTGTTTCTCGACTTAGATCCGTTTCTGAACAACAGTTGAATCCCTGACTCAGATCTGTTTCTCAAATTCCATCTATCTGTTCATGGAGTCGCTGGAGTTTTCTTGCTACTTCAATGGGGCTGATCGGAAAACCTACCTACGACGTGGAATGAACTTTGATTGGAGGCAAGAAATAATTGAAGGAGTCGATTAGATTTAGAGGAAATAAAAAATAGAGGGAAGGCGTCGATTAGAGAGAAGGAGTGGATGGAGTCCATCTGATAGATTGAAAAGGAAGGAGTCAATTAGAGAAATTGACTGGATGTTGACCAACAATTTCCTAAGAAGCATGCAAAAGCTATAGCTTTTGCTCCTAGACAAAGCTATAACTTGGACTTCACCGCATAAGCGGCGAAACACATACTTTATCATGTTTAGAAGCATGTGAACTCTAAGTAAGTAGTCTAGATTTACTCAATTTACCAGGAAAAAAATATCCTAGGCCTTTTTCTTTAGAGCTTAGGAGTGAACTTTAACTCAGCAGTCTAGCAATACTCGATTTACAAAAAAAAAGTATTTTTGGGGTTTATCTTTTAGAGCTTGGGAGCGAACTATATAACTCACTACTATAGCATTACTCAAATTACAAAGAAAAATGTATCTTTGGGATTTTTGTTTTAGGGTTATAGAGTTTGCACTTGATTGTAGCAGTGCAGGGATAGTCTAATTTTGACCATTTTTGCTACTCCATCTTCAAACAGGCCCAAGACATAGGTGACTTAGGTTCATTGAAGCAGGTAGCTAAGATATTTGTTCCAGGTATTTGCACACACAAATACACACACACACAATCTGCCCATAAATTATTTTCTTGTTTGACTTTCATGAATTCTTAGAAATGAGTTTTTCTAGGACATCCAAAAAGCAAGAAGTATTTTGATGGCTATGGATTTGTCCAATGATGCTTCTTCTGTCATAGTTACACCGATAGGAAAAAAAGAGTACACACACACATGTACACCCTCCATCCGTCCCCAAATAAAAGTTACAGTTACCATTCCAGGGTTACTATAACTTTTGTTGTGTTTTTATCGAGGCTTTGATAAAATAATTGTCATGTCATTTATTGTCTTCTAGAACTTTTGACGTTTTTAAGTATGCAAGTTTTATTGTTTTTTATATATTTTTGTTCCAATTTTTTAAAGAATTTAATTAGAAACACTTCACTATACCTCGTAATTCCCTCCACAATTTGGATTTGGAGACAGAAAGAGTGCATACATACATATACACACACTATCCATATGGCTTGCACAGAGTTGATTGTTTCTCTTTTTCGTTTGGTGCATAAATGATAGGTGGAGCTACTCTCTATTCTGCCCACTCAATCAAAATAAGGGAAGATGAAGGTTATAGGTGAGTGTATAATAAACCTCATGCAGAATGTTGCTGCTATATGATGAGTAATTTGTGAACGTGAGAGTGTTTGAGAATTTCTAAAAGGTGAACCTATGACAAAAGCCAATTAGTATGGCAAGTGTGTGGTTAACGACCAAGACCTTGATTCTAGATCATACTTCCCTCCTTTATTTCAATAAAGCAAGGCACTTGCATATTGTATGGCAATAGGTTTATACAAGGTGTCCGGAACAGAGAAACGCCTTTTTTTTCAAAGTTTACAAAAGATTTGGGTGGTGCACGTCTCCAAGTACCCAAATCTTACAAAGAATTTGGATGTTTCAAGGAAGGAAAGCGACATTTAAGAATCCGAGCAACATGGATATCGCACACTTTCACACCTGCACTTTGTCAATGCAATCATTATATTTGTATTGGATTTACGTCATGAAAGTGATTCATTGGGTGTTTCCCTACTGCTGCAGGACCTATTATTTCTATGAGTATGGACAAGATGAAAGACACATTGCACTTGTAGCAGCCGTTAATGGTGGAAAGGTATATTGTTGACATCCCTCCTTGTCCGTGACCTTGATGTTTTTTTCCCCCTTACCTTGGAGCTGCAGAAGGCCATGATACATGCCTCTCTGAAGTTAGCAGTCTTAGTGACATTTCAAATTTTTGGAGGAGAGTGTGTTGATTTATTTATTGATTAATCAAATTATTCTCACACTGCTGCTGTATCAGGCATTCATTGTCGGAGCAACAGCCCCAGAGGAAAGATGGAACGATGATGGCATCAAACTTCGATCCGCTGCTGTGTCATTCACGGTTCTATGATCATATGAACGAAAGAGAGATTTTCAAAAGTGATGAGAAAAGAGATGTGTTAACAATAATGATACTGGGAGAGAATTACCTGTTATGCATCACCTACTAAGAGACTTCAAATCATCCTTTATAAAACAAAGATCAGAAAAATGTGCTTAACTTTTATCAAATCATCCTCATTATAGCTATCAGATTTCTTACGGCCTGCGTTCAGATTCACTCTAATTTCGCAGCTGCTTAATAGTCTTGGTCTTAGCTGTCAACTTCAAATGATCTGAGCCTCAACTACGAAGCAGCAAAAACCTACACAGCTAAAAACCCACATAGACTTGGATGAATTGCCAAGTGTTTTCAATCAATTCTTCATGAACAGGGTAACCATATGCATGAGATGTTGATGCTACGATGGTCTGATTGTTTTTGTGATATAACTCTATTAGGTATGATGAGATTTCTTTTTTCTTGCTGTTTCAGGACTTAACCTTAAATTTCCAATGATTGTGCATTACCCCATCCGTCTAAAAAAAACTTCTCTTTCACTTTTTACTTGTCTAAAAACCTTTTCACTTTGGCCTAAGTAGACAAATACTTTTGTTTTTAAAAATCTACTCCGGGTAATATACTACTTAATATTTACCCCAACTTCTTTCTAGTTTCTACGCCCTCCCCACTATTATGACATTTTCCAAATCCTATTATTTCATTTCTTTTTTTTTAACACTAATAATTCTATTACAATGTAGTATCTGTTCATACATTTTCAACTTATTGAAACTTGTAGAGTTACTGCCTGTCAAGGAATACAACATGTGACCTCTAATTTCAGAAAGTCATAGTGGTGTCATTAGACTACAAGGTCCGGCTGCTCATTTCATTTCTTTTCTCTTTAATCAAATTTTTACTCTCGATAGTTAAAATTGAAAAATATTTTGTGGGACGAAATAATTATTTTTGGGATAGGCATAATTTGAATAACGTATAATGGATGTGTGGAGAAGAGGTTGAATTTTATTACCCATAAAAAGTTGATTAGTTAAGACACTTTTTAAGACTAAATATTGCTTACGATTTAGGTTTCGTTCTTTTCAATTTATTTTTTCTGATCTGATCTGATTTTTTGTATTTTGATATGATCTGATTGGATCTGATCTGAATGGATCTAATCTGATCTGATTGGCTCTAATTTGGTCTGATTTGATCTGATTAATTATGATTTGATTTAAAATTCAAATCAATAATTTGATTTGACTGTATAATAACGTTTGAGAACTGTAATGATAATTCATATTATAATATAATCAATATTTTTTGTTTTATGATTATTTTTTAATTAAATAAAACTAGTTAATTCATATATTAGAATAATTGTTCATATTATAAACTAATACTCCCTTTGTCCTAAAACATTCTTCTCACTTTCCTTTTTTTCTCCGTTCTAAAACTACCTTCCCATTTCTAAAAAAGGAGTGTGAGTGACAATTATACCCTTTTATCTTTATCCCCACCAACGATCCCACCCTCCACACAACTTTAATATTTGTTCTTACTCTTCCTCTTCCCCCCTCTTGTTCTTCACTCTCCATCGTCATTTGTTTCATTTTCCTCTCCGTTTATCCTCTATCAATCGTCATCTCTCTTCACCGTCGTCTCTCTTCAATTTTCTCAATTTCTTGAAAGAATTTCATTTTCTCTCTGGCGAGGGGGCTGCAGATCTGGAAATTATGAGGAAAGTAGTGAATAGTGAGAATACAGATAAATTTGAGAGATAATGAAGATGATAAGAGACGAATCTGAAGATATGACATTTGCGATGATGGATCTTGCGGATTATGAACTCCATTTTTTATGATGGCAGATCTAGAAGTGGAGCTCCCCTAAAGCTCATGCGCAGGTCCATATTGAACTCCATTTTGGAGTGAATTTGCACGGAACTCCTGACTTTCAACTCAAGATTTATTTTAGATTTCTTTTTCATCTAGACTGTAATTTCAATTTTGATGCAGTGCATTTTTGAAGAAGTGTCGCCAGAGTAATTTTAGATCTGCTAGTTGTTGGGCAAAGGGGAGGATTTTAGGGGTATTTTGGGAAGGTCAACCCAAATTTTGCACTTCCTTAAAAATCACCTCCGGTCAAACCGGGAAGGTGGTTTTAGGACAGAGGGAATAATATTTTTTATTTTATGATAATTTTTTGTGAAATTAGAATATTAATTTAATATTTTAATAATTATTTCATATATACTTTAGAATAAATATTTAATTTATATATACATTAAAAAGTAATTAAATTTGAATAATCAATATATAGAAGAGATAGTATTTTTATTAAAATATATCATCCTTATAAAAGATCAAAACTTTAGAAACTCAAATTACATATAGCAATAAACATATATTTTAAAAGTAGGATTAGATTGACATGGTCAATGTATTCTAAAGATAATTTTTCCAACGTCTAATAATTAAGGATTACTTTCCCAGTTGTTTTTAAAGTTTATTCTTTTTCGTTTTTAATAATAATAATAATAATAAAAACAACAATAATAATACTAATAATATTATTAATAATAATTCTTGATGGAATTTGATCTGATATGGTCTGATCAGATTAGATCTGATCTGATGTGATTCAATCTGGTCTAATCTGATCTGATTCGATCTGATCTGATCTGGTTTTAATAAGAATAAGAAAAATTAAGAAAAAAATAAGTTAAACGGAGCGGGCCCTACTCCCTAGTACTTTGTAACGCCACAAAATATGGCCTAAAATTTATTATAAAATAAAAGTAGTTTTATCCAATAAGGAATATTTATACGTTTGACCAAAAATAAATGGATTTTCAAAATAATGACTTTTTGTTAAAAAGTTATATTTATGGATATGTCTCGAAGAGACGAATCCAACGGTACATTTTGTGAAACAATCTGATTTATAGATTTCAAGTTATGTCAATTTTAAATATTAAAATTTGTAACTTTGACCCATAAAATAAACTCAATTCAAAAGTGATTTCATCAGATTAGAAATCATAATTTTGACACTTGACAACATCATATTTATCATTTGGATTTAATTCATATATTTTTATATCATTTATATTATTAAATTAATTTATGACTGAGACAGACCCGAACACTGAGAAAAATAAAAGTTTTCAGAAAAATATTTTGATTCTGTCAAAATTCTAATTTTGACTGTCTCATTCCAAAAATACAATCCGTTTTCAATTCGGAACAGTTTGGGCGAAAAAGCGCGTACCGTTCAGAATAAACTGTTCAGTTTTGGCAAGAAGCCAAAACTTTAATTCTCAAATCTCTCCCCAATCACGTATGTGACTTCACTAGCCACCCTATCCCTCCTAAGGAATCCACTAGCCCTCCACTAACATAAAAACTCCAAATCCCTTTCTCATTATTATACTCCTCCTTTATGATTTACCATCATCATCATTAAACACCATCATCATCCATCCATAATTCATCTCCTCTCCATCCTTTCTCTGTCGGCAGCCAAGGAAGGAGGAAAACCAACCCACCAAATTTCATGATTCTATGATAAGGAAGAAGAAGAAGGAGCAAGAAAACTATCCAAAATTTCCATATCTTGACTCCAAAAACGCAGAAGCTACTTTGAGGTAAGAACTGAAATTTTCCATCCATTATCTCGAAATACTTTCTGAACCAAAGTTGTAGCCCCGGACGATACGAATCCAGCCCAACAAACGGCTCGCGATTTCGTTAAGTAACGAAGAAGATATGGCCAAAATACCGGGACTACGCCAGTGGTGGCGAGCTCCTCGGGTTGAACTACTTTCTTCACCAAATTCTTATTGTTTCATTCCAAGAACTCACCATAAACTCTCTAACAATTATTAGGAACATCCGGAAGGTATCGTAGAGAAGGTTCGGCGTTGGAATATTGAAATAAAGGAGTTAATCATCGGAATCATTGTTCATCGACATATACAAAATCCTGGACAGCAACTATCCCTTGACTTCAGGTCCGATTTACGCTATCTTACGTCTGTTAAAACGAAATACTTTCTATACAAAAAATGTAGCCTTACATCTTAGGAACCCACAGAATCAAACGGTTTGCGATTTCGTGAAGAAACGATGGAGATATGTCCAAAATACGGCAGGCTGTCCAAATGTGACGAAAATGACAAAGTTGGTGAATTCCGATGTTGTTTCCACTCCCGTTCATCCGTAAGGTTTCGACCGATGATTTCCAGGCATGTACCTTTGCGTTAGACTTGTTGAATCATTCATCACATACGTACATGAACATTTATGTTAATCCATGTGTTGAAATTGTTAGAGTCTATCCCACATCGGAAAATTGAATAGAAAAGCTATCGGTATATAAGCTCTTGAGTTTAACTAACTAATCGATTGAATCCAATCGATTAGTTAGTTAAACTCAAGAGCTTATATACCGATAGCTTTTCTATTCAATTTTCCGATGTGGGATAGACTCTAACAATTACAGGACTACCCCTGAAGTTCTAAAGCAGACAATTTCCAATATCCTTATATTTTGCTATGACTATCAATAAAAGTCAAGGTCAAATATTTTCATTTGTTGGATTATTTTTAACCAAGTCGGTGTTCACTCATGGTCAGCTTTATGTTGGTGTTTCGCGAGTAAAGACAAAGACATGATTAAAAATATTGGTCCTAGATGACAATGAAAACCCTTGCAACCATACTAAAAATGTTGTATACCCTAAAGTCTTTCAGAAAATTTGGTATTAAATTTTTTTATTATGTACACATTCAATTCCTTAAATATTATTTATTCCAATTTGGTTTTTTTCTACTCCGTATTTTATTAAAAATCATGCGAGAAGTATATTTTCTTTATTCCAAAAAAATATTGCATTAAATTTTTTTAGAATCAATAAAAAATTTGTTCAGCCTCGTGCGTGGCACGGGTCAAAATACTAGTTTTAATTGTATTTCAATCTGACTTTAAAATTGTAAAATACTCTAGAAGTGCTTTGCGAAAAAGTTTGAGAGTGTGTTTGGATGTAATTTACTTGTGGATAAAGTAATTTCTACAAAAGCTGAAAGCAAAAGTAACTCATAAGTGCTTTTCCGGAATGATGTTCTATGTAGAAAATAGTGATGGACAAAAGCAGAAACTGACATGCCAAGGTGTTTGGGAGTGTGGTAAGTTATGTAAAAATAGAATTTATAATTTACAAGCAAAAAGCATGTATTTTTAGCTTTGCTAGAAAGCACTTCTAGACCTTAATTTTAACTTTTAAAGCCATAATTTACACGCTAAAGCAGATTAGCAAACAATTAAAATTGTGTTTTAGTAAACTAGAAGTTATAAGTTATTTTCAAATGCAATCTCAAACACCCTCTAAATAGAGTAAAACCACTTTCACTTAAAGCAGAAGCTAAATTTTTAAAAGAAGTGCAGTGCCAAACAGGCAAACACTCTCTGAAATAACTATTTTCTACTTCTGATTTAGCACAACTGCTTTTTCAAGACTCACCACATTCACAAACACCCTTCAAATGTGGTAAAGATATAAAAGTTATTATATATACACCCTTCTTTGGAAGTGAAAAGATAGTTTAAGAGTTTGAAAAAAAATTAACACATAGAAAGTATGTAACACCCCAATCCGTATAACCCGGAATTATACGAATTAAGGTGAAACGAGAGATAAATAAAAATTTTGCTTGAAATTTGAAATGACAATTTCTGATAAATATTAAATTTACAAACTCTGGATTGCGACCCATTTAAAAATATTTTCACAGTAATGCGAAAGTACAATAATAATCAAATCATGACACATTTTAAAATCTGATGATCAAACATTTGCCTGCCATCCTTGCATCTCCTCTGACTCAATGCCCTCCGGGAGTGGTTCCATCATTGTCATCTTATTACCTACGTGTAGTCAACGAAAAATACAAATTACACGCTCAGCGAAACCGCTGAGTGGTACCACGCTAGAATTATAGAATAATTCACAGACATATACATATACATATATATACGTCCACAAAATGTATAATAACATTCATGATATGGCACATATTATCATATAGTAAATTTGATGAATCATGATGATAAATATTTAATGACAATTTCATGATGGCACATTTAATCAATTTACTTGTGAGGATGATTACATTATATCTATGTAATCAATATACTTTTTCTTGATGATGATTACATGACACCTATGTAATCAATGTAATTGTACTTGATGATGATAACATGATGCATGATCCTATAACTTGCAAGGACACCCTTGCGCTATGAGATTCGCCCATTTGGTACGACGAACTCACGCGGCCTTAGTCTCACGAATGAGGTGAGACTAGAAAATAGGGGTGGTACCCGGAGACCTGAATAGGTACATGCATGTGATTCGGGCAACTTGTGATGTCGGACTACTAAGTCCCGCACAATCACGCTATAAGAGACGCAATTACGCATGATCTCTTACGCATGCACATGATGTGATATGCTTCAATATAAATGTTGAAATGAATGACATGATGTGAACAATTTGCAAACAATATGAATATATAATCATGCTTTAGTTTAATTGGATGAAACATGATTAAAATATCATTTAATAAAACTACTAGGCTCGGAGCGGTCGACCGTTTGGCGCGACGGTCGACCTTGATCTTCATCAGGTCGGATTGCCGATTCATCGTGACGATCGACCGCGGTTGACCGGCGGTCGACCGTTGTTGACTGGCTGCGGATGGCAGACTTCGGCTGGACAGCGGCGGTCGACCGTTAGCCACCGGCGGTCGACCGTTTGGCTGACAGTCGTGGTCCGTTTTGAAGTTTAATACGACGGTCGACCGTTTGCGTCGACTGTTTGCGTCTGCGAATCTATCTCTTGATATTTTGAGTGTCCAAAATACTACTTTAAGTCTTTTAAACACCTTTGATTGAAATAAACATATTGTAGGGTCGATTTCAAATGTTTATATATAATAACTTTATGGATTTGGTGTATTTTGGTCTTAACTTAAAGATGACTTATATATGTATCACATATTTATTTTGGGATGATTTCTGTTAGAGTCTATCCCACATCGGAAAATTGAATAGAAAAGCTATCGGTATATAAGCTCTTGAGTTTAACTAACTAATCGATTGGATTCAATCTTTTAATACGGTTCAACCCAAGTGTCTTATTACCCAATCCAGTTGTCCATACCCATCCTAAATTTTATCATGGTATCAGAGCCTCGTTGACTAAGAGGTCACGGGTTTGAAACTCAGCGTCACCCAGTTTAAAAAAATTAAGGTTTCACGTGCAAGGCTTGAAAAAGACTACGCCTGCACGTGAGGGGGCGTGTTAGAATATAAATAACTATTCCTGGGCCACAACCAAAAGCTTGAGCTTTTGGTTGAGTTGGTTCCCTGACATGGTATCAGAGCAAGTTTTGGCCCACCTCGTTTGTCAAGGTGTCCGTCTAGACGTTCATTCCTAGCGGCCCGTTTGTCTTTAGCCCAGTTGTCCGTGTGGAGTATGTACCCAACGGCCTGTGGCCCGTTTAACACGATTGCTCGTTTGGAAGTCCATACCCAGCGACTCGTGGTCCTTTAGGTGTTGGCGCTCATTAAAAAAAGAAGTCTAGGAATGGGAGTCCATTTGCAAGTGGTCAACCGGTTAGATTCAAAATGGCCCGGTTGTCCACTTGAGGGGGAGTGTTAGAGTCTATCCCACATTGGAAAATTGAATAGAAAAGCTATCAGTATATAAGCTCTTGAGTTTAACTAACTAATCGATTGGATTCAATCTTTTAATACGGTTCAACCCAAGTGTCTTATTACCCAATCCATTTGTCCGTACCCATCCTAAATTTTATCAGTAATGGTACCAACTTCATCCGTGGTATGTAAACTTTTTCCCCAACTCGATTTCTCAAAACCACTATAACACTGATAACGTTCTTTTGCAGCTCGTCAACAATTAATCTTGTATGACTACACAGTCCAGATGTTAGGTAGGTCAATGTTTCTTAATAAAGTAATTGGTACTCCTTTTTTTAAAAAACTACTTGTGGTTTGGAATCACCGATCATTTGATTTCATTCAAAAACTCAACTGTTATCCAATCGCCATTAACACCTATATTAGAATCTCCATTGCATGAAGAATATGAAGTCAAGTACACCATTTCATCTTCGTGAATGAGTGATGGGACAAATTCATTTATTATTTCTACAACTTTGAGCGTGGGTGCTAGTAGTGCATGCCTTATCCTCGAAAAAAGAATAACATTTCTTATTCTCCAATAGTTTCGGATAAGTGAAGTTCACTATACTCTTGAGAGAAGAACTCATATCTAGAATCAACAATTCAGGCAAAATTTAGTTTCAACGTCAATTGTTCTATCAATCACTTGTCTAAGCTTTTCATCTCCGATTTTAACTATCCCATAAAAAAACATGCGTGTCTCTATCTGAGCAAGAGGATGTAGCTAAAAGCAATCTCACATTATTCGTCAACATATAAACTTTACCATACAACCACAAATTTGAAGAATTTATGGTAGCACCTACAATTTTCTCTTTTGAAGCTTTGGGTAAAACAGGAAGAATTTGTTGAAAATCACCTCTAAGTACAAATATTTTCCATCTGAATGGTTCATTTATGGAGTTTTTATTAGAGAATCTCATTATATCTCTCATTCTAAAACCCAATGCCTCAAAAGTAAATCTATTCATCATATATGCTTCATCCCATACGATTAGATTTGCTTGTTAGATTAGTTTTACTTTTGGGCTCCATTATTTGATGACCCATGTTGAGCACTCAGATAGCGCTAGAGGAATTGAGAATCTAGAGTGTGTTGTCCTTCCCCCAGGGTGCAAAAACAATGCTGCAATCACACTTGATGCAATATTCAAGGCAAACTTACCATTTGACCTCAGAGAAGCACATAGTAATTTCCATAGAAATGTTTTTCTAGTTTAATCGTAACCATACACAAAAAAGAATCAAATAGTATTTGAGTAAATTGTTTATAATATCATATACGTATAATTAGTTAATACATAAAGGCATTTGTCGTATGATTAACTTCATAGAAAGTAATATCACATATTATTGAAGATAAACCAATTCTCTATTATCTATTATGCACTTGAAAGCGTGATGAAGTGGGTGTAAAATTATTCCAGAGTGATGCACTGTATTAGTACTTTTTTAAGGAAAAATGTAATGGAAATATTTAAATTTTTAATTCGAAAAAACATTTGTCACATCACAGAGTACATTCTTTCTCAAACTGGTTCAATTATGCAAGATTATAACCGATGACGATGTCTCTTCATCTGTATATGTAATTTCTATCATAAAAAATAATTCCATAATATATATTTTATGAAGGTTTTCTTGGATATATTTTTCTTCCTTGAGATAATTTAATAATGCTGGTTTTTCTTTCTTCATTCATAATGTTGTTTTTGCATTTCATGTTTGTTTATGAAGTCCAAATTTTCCTAAACACAATTCTGCATTTACAACTTGACTATCAAAATTAAGTAGTGTTTTGTGATCCTAAATTCCATATTTTTTTACATCTTATGGAATAATACAATAAATGAATAAATGTACGAGTTTATTGCTCCAACACTCTTTGTGATTTGATAAATGTGTACTGTTACTCCTCATAGTTTCAAAACTCACGCTGTTGCCATTCATGTTTTTGATATCGCAATACTAATTCTCCTCTAGACTAAAATATCTTTTAAATATTATGTGAAAAATGTTTGTGTGTGAAATAATCAAAAAGTATTTTTTCAAACATACAATTTAAAAAAAAATTGTGTTTGAAATAAAAAATGAAATAAAAACTTAACATATACTTCATTTGTCAAATTACATATTTCCAATTTTTGTCTAAAGAAGTTTTTATCTTTGTGAATATGTCAGCATGTTGGGAAAAATATAGATTTTGATGATGATGTATTTAGAATGTAATAGGGACTTTAGGTCTCCCCCAATATTCAATGTAATTTTTCTTTTTTAGAAATATTGTTGAAACCGAGTTCTTGAGATTTCCAATAAAGTTGTGATATTTCTTTAAGTGGTTTGATGCTTGAAGACTTAATCAAATTCAGTGATATAGAAATTGGATATCTTAATCGGAAATGTCAGAGACAAGTAAGGATCTCTCAGAGCAGATGGAAATCCTCCAATCTGGAAGACTACATGATAACCGGATGTCTCGCTACAACCCGCTGAAAGCTAAGTCACCCAAGTCGGAAGACTAACGCGGATCTCTTTCTCACCCGGAAGACTGAGAATGATTCTTCCGGATTTGTCAGCCAAGAACCGGATGCCTCAAGGAAGACCGGAATTCTCAAAAAGCGGACAAGTGAGAAAAGACTTAGAAAAATTATCTAAGTCTTGAATGAAGAAATTCTACCCGTTGGTAAGGAAAAATCAATCTCTTGATTTTCAACGGCTAGATTGAAGATAATTATGCTGATTCAAGAACAAATGACTCGAAGACAAAGTCTGGACCTCTAAAAATTGAAGAGCCTGTCCAGAATTCCTAAAGACAAAGCCTGATAATTATACCGTGCAGAAATTCACACAAATGTAATTGTTGGTTCATTAGTCAACAACCAACTACATAGTGGATTTTGAGGACGTAGAAGGATTACCCCACCTTCGAACCTCGTTAAAGTTTGCGTGTCTCTCTTTTATCTTTACTCTTACTTGCAATTATATTAATTGTGAAAACTAACCCATCCATATTGATTACTGCTCACTCTATTCCGCACACAATCTAAAGTTCACAAGGACTCTAGATTAACACTCATTTTCACGTTTTCAAAAGAAACGAAAAAGTTTTAAATTTGTAACAAAGTCTATTCACCCCCCCTCTAGACTTTGTATCTCACCACTTTGGGGACCACCAATTGGTATCAGAGCTTACTTCTCACTATCTACGTTTAGATTAACGAGAAGCGATCATAATGGTGAACAATATGGATCACGGTTTGCCCAAGTTTTCTCTTCTAGGTTATGATGATTGGAAGAGCATTATGGAAGCACACCTCTACGCTCTACATGATTGCATGTGGATGGTGCTTGAGGATGGACCCTTGAAAATCCAAATGGAGAATCCTGAGAGGAATCCAGCCGCTCCAGATGTAGTCCAGTACATTCCAAAGCCCAAAGAAAAGTGGGATGATAGAGATTGCAAAAAGCACAATTTGGACAACGTTGCCAAAGCAGCCATCTTCAAGACACTTGATCCCATCACCTTCTCCAAAATTAAGCATCTCAAGACTGCCATGGAGATTTGGCAAGGTCTTGGGAAGCTATGTGAGGGATCAGAGGACCTGAGAAAGCAGAAGATAGAAGTCCTGCTTGAGAAGTTCAAAAGCTTCAAAATGCTTCCCGGAGAATCATTTGATATGTTGGATGAAAGATTCCACAAGATATTGAATGATCTTGCATCACTTAACCACGTTCTTTCTCCCAAAGAAAAGAATGTAAGGTTGCTGAGATCACTTCCAACTGAGTGGTACACCAAAGCCACAGCCATGGAAGAAGGAAGAAACCTGGAGAACTACATTGTCCAAGGTCTCCTTGATGAGCTCAGAACCTATGAGCACGAGCTGAAGAAGAAGAAGGAAGAACATGTCACTCCTTTCCCCACGGCATTGACGACAACTCCAAGAGTCCCATCAAGTGAAGGGACATGCCCAAGGAACTGTGATACACCCTCCTCCAGCTAGCCATCAAGCTCAAAAAGGGAGAACTACGATGAGGAATTTGCCATGATGGTCAAGCAATTCCGGAAGTTCAAGAAGTTCTTCAAGAAGGCTGATTCAGTCAGAAGGCCAACCAAGGGAAAGCCACAAGTCAGTGACTCCCTTCCTGAATCTTACTTGTGTTATAACTGCAGAAAGCCTGGCCACTGGAAGTCAGCATGCCCGTACCCAAAGGTTGAGAAGTACAGAGAAAGAGAAAGAAACGAGAAGAAAAAGAAGGCAATGGTTGCTGAAAGTGATGAGTCATCCAGCTCAAGCTCGGATGAAGAAGCCCTCGTTTTCATGGAGCGCAGAGTTGAAAAGTCCAACCATGAGGATAGGTGGACTATGTCAGAAGATGACACTCTCTGCCTAATGGCCAAAGATGATGCTGATCAAGAGGTAACCTCACAAACCTCCTGCTCATCTTCTTATGAAAGCATACCAACTTCTGAAAATCTTTTTGACCAGTTCAAAAAGATGATGGAAGATTTTGAGGAGATAAATCTCAAACATTCATCCTTAACAGAAGAGAACAAGTTGTTAAGTGAAGAGAATCTCAAGTTGACTGAAGGTCGGAAAAGTCAACTAAATGAGATCACTCAACTTAAAGCTGAAAATGAATCTCTCTCTGAAAAGGTGAAATCCATCAACAAGGAGCTAGGGATACTTAAGTCCAAAGAAGCAGTGGACAAGCTTCTTGAAACGACCAAACATAAGGGTCGTGAAGGACTTGGGTTTGACCCTTCCAGTTCCAAAAGAAAAGGGAGAACAACTTTCATCCCTCCTAAACCTACTGCTAAACAAAATAAGCAGAAAGGAAAGGAAAAGGAGAAACCAACAGAAGTTCCCAAAAAGGTAGTCCCTCCTAAGAACTATAGGAAGCTGGACAGACCTCAAAAAGGAAATAATTTCAGAAGAAAACCCTCTAACCCCCACTATACACGAGGCTATACTCATTATGGGGTAGATAGGAGTTTTTCAAGAAATTCTGAGTGGAGAACTATGCCAAGATATAGTCACCCTCCACCCCAAAAATTATTTGTGCCACCTAAGTATGCTTATAACCGACACAGGCCACACTATGCACAACCTAGACAAAACTATAGGTCTTACCAACCTAGGTTTACTAGGAGGAAACAGGAAATTGCACCTCCTGCACGTAGAAAGTTTTATTCCTATAACTATGATTACAATCCCAACAAGTTTAGAGCTGCAAGGAAAATTCCCTGCAACTTCAAACTTGATGTAGGGACACACACCATTAACTATTCCGGACCCAAACTTAATTGGGTACCAAAATCTTCCTCCTCCTAATGCAGGAAGCCGCTAAGTACCCAGGTGTCTGGTACTTAGACAGTGGCTGTTCAAGACACATGACGGGTGATGCGAGCCTTTTGAGCAATCTAATTCCCTATGATGGTCCAAGAGTTACTTTAGGAGGAAGCAATGATTTTGGCCTTACTAAAGGGCTAGGAAATCTGGTGTACAAGGGACTAACCATCCAAGCTGTATCTTATGTTGAAGGTCTCTATTACAACCTTCTTAGCATAAGTCAGTTCTGTGATAAAGGTTACTCCTTGGAATTCTGCAAGGACATGGCATCCCTCAAGAACATCTCCACAAATGAAGTCATTCTCACTGGGAAGAGAATCATGAACATCTATGAAGTAATGTGGGACGATGTCAAGGAAGCATGCCTAATCAGCAAAGGTGACACTAACCTTCTATGGCTTTGGCATAAGAGGTTGAGTCATCTCAATTTCAAAACCCTCAACAAGCTATCCAAAGAAGGGTTAGTAGAAGGTCTTCCCAAAGCTATATTCAGGAAGGAAAGCATTTGTGATGCTTGCCAGAAAGGAAAGCAAGTCAAGTCCACTTTCAAGGCAAAACTGGCACCCTCAACCACAAGGATATTAAGTCTTATTCACATGGACTTATTTGGGCCTGTTACACCAATAAGTCTAAGTGGAAAGAAATATGTGCTGGTGGTAGTTGATGATTACTCAAGATACACGTGGACAATCTTCCTCAACAGCAAGAAGGAAACTCAAGGGAAACTCACCCACTGCATGAAGCTGATTCAGAACCAAGCAAGTCAGACCATTCAGAAGATCAGATCTGACAAAGGCACAGAATTCCTGAATGAAATCATCATTCACTACTGTGAAGAAAACGGAATTCTTCATCAGACATCCGCAGCAAGGACGCCTCAACTGAATGGTGTAGCTGAAAGAAGGAATAGAACCTTGAAGGAAGCAGTAAGAACAATGCTAGCAGAAGCTTCCTTACCAAAAAGGTTCTGGGCTGAAGCTGTTAACACAGCTTGCTATACTCAAAATAGGAGTATGATTTATAAAAGGCACAACAAAACTCCCTATGAACTTTGGAACGGGAGAAAGCCTAATATATCATATTTCCATATTTTTGGGAGCAAGTGCTTTGTGTTAAACAATGGGAAGAATCATCTGAACACTTTTGATGAGAAATCAGATGAGGCCATCTTCCTTGGATACTCTATGGTGAGCAAGGCATTCAGAGTCTTCAACAAAAGAACCATGATCACTGAAGAGTCAATACATGTTATTTTTGATGAAAAACATGTGGTTGACAAACCATCAAAGCATGATCATGAGGTTCTGGATCTCTCAGACAAGGATGAAGAAGTCAATGAAGGAGATAGAATGAAGCCTACGGAGTTCATTCCATTCACAAGTCTACCACTGAAGACTTCACAGAGAAATCCGGATTCAGACAGTGCTGAGCCTTTCGAAAATTTTGGCCAGCCTTCCAATATTCCGGAACACTCAAATGGTGACAATTCCGGATGAGTACATCCACCAAGCTTGATATGGATGTAGATGGAAAGGATGTAGATCAAACTCTCTACAGAGGAATTGTTGGATCTCTACTCTACCTTACTGCAAGCCGTCCGGATATCTCATATGCAGTAGGTGTTTGTGCAAGATTCCAGTCAAAGCCAAAGGAAAGTCATCTGATAGCAGCTAAAAGAATTCTTAGATACCTCAAAGGAACTCAAAATATGGGTTTATGGTATGCTAAGGGCAATTCATTTGAGTTAGTGGGATACTCAGATTCTGACTTTGCCGGATGCAAAGTTGACCGGAAAAGTACATCTGGGACTTGTCAATTCATTGGTGGAAATCTTGTTTCTTGGTTCAGTAAGAAACAAAACTCCATTTCTACATCAACAGCAGAAGCAAAATACATTGCTGCTGGTAGTTGTTGTGCTCAGATTTTGTGGCTAAAGCAACAACTACTAGACTATGGAGTCAAGACAAAGGAAGTGACAATCTTTTGTGACAATCAAAGTGCTATAGCCATCTCTCAAAACCCAGTGCACCATTCTCGCACTAAGCACATTGATGTCAAGCATCACTTCATCAGAGATCATGTGGAAAAGAAAGATATCAAAATTGAGTATATCTCAACTGAAGAACAACTGGCGGATATCTTCACAAAACCACTAAGTGAAGCCAAGTTTTCCGATTTGCTTCACAAAATTGGTCTAATTCAATTAGACTAAGTGCGGTACACGTGGCAGTNCATTCTCGCACTAAGCACATTGATGTCAAGCATCACTTCATCAGAGATCATGTGGAAAAGAAAGATATCAAAATTGAGTATATCTCAACTGAAGAACAACTGGCGGATATCTTCACAAAACCACTAAGTGAAGCCAAGTTTTCCGATTTGCTTCACAAAATTGGTCTAATTCAATTAGACTAAGTGCGGTACACGTGGCAGTCCACTTTCCACGTCTGTCAATATAGTGGGTAGGCACGTGGCCTTGGGAATAGTCAAAAACCCAATCGCCACCAGCCGCGCAAATCGCCCAAATAAAACCCAATCGCCACTATTCAGATCTCAACCGCCCACTCAAAATTTTTCGTCGTCTTCTTCGCGAAAGATTTAGAATTACCTCAAGAACCCTAAAATTTCTTCAGAATCGTCAAATTTCTGAGAAAATGAAGGTTGTCGGCGCTAATGTCCATTTCCAGAAGTTAGAATCCAAATGCTCCTCACCGGCGTTCTATCAAAACTATCTAGAGATGATAGCCGCTCAAGAACTCTCCGAATTTCTTCAAATGGAGATTCGCCTCAAATATGAAGCTGAAGTTCTGGAATTCTACAAAAATGGAGAGGTCAAGACTGCTCATCCAAAGAAGGACCCACAGAGGACGCTTGAAGTCATCAAATCCACTGTTGGAGGAAGAAAAGTGAAGCTTTCACAGAAGAAATTGGGAGAAAAGCTTCGCCTTCCCAATTCTGGAGTTGAAATTGGGAAATTTCCAGTCAAAAATCTGGACTGGAACGTTATTGGAATTTCTGAGCAAGCTCCATCTGGCCCAGTGAAGAAAGCAGATCTAAACAATGACTACAAGTTAATTTTGGAACTGGTCATTGTTTGTCTCGAGTGTGGAAGCGGAGGTCATGCCGATGACATCACGCAGGAGAGAGCCTTCATCAGCTACGCTCTCATTACCAAATCTAAGGTAAATTGGGTTGCACACTTCTTCAAATCCATTTCAAAACATCTAGGAAAGCCAAATCAGAAGTACCTTTGTCAAGGTCTGTACATTGGCCATATTTTGGAGTCTATGGGTGCTGCTTCTAAAGGAAAGAAGTATGAAGAAAGATATTGGTTATACTATGTCTTCAAAAGGGGAAAACAGAGCTGGTGCTAGTGTCACTGCAGAGGAAAGCTCATCAGATAATGTCCCACTCATCCATATGGCGAAGACTGCCAAAAGGAAGCAGGTGGTGTCTCCCTCCATTAGTATTGAAGCACCACAGAACCTTGCTCTGGTCAATTTGGAAGAAGCAGAAGAAGTCTCTATGCAAGGAGAACTTCAAAGGAAGAAGAAGAGAAAACTCTCCTCTCCCTCAACATCTGGATATGTCAACTCGGATAAGTTGAAGGAGAAGGAACCTGCTGAGGAAACCTCTGCCCACAACCGAAGTCCTCAACAACTTGAAGAAGAAATCCCTCAAGTCCAAAGCCTTCCAACCCCCTCACCTCAACCTCAAATGGATGATGCTGATAACCAATTCTGGCAGCTCTACTATGATTGGAGAGCATGGAAAGTTGGAAATTCAGCAGAGCAACTGATGGATTGGGACCAACAGCTGAAGAATGAGAAGACCATCAAGAAATGCTTAGGAATACCAGTCAACCATAGCTGTGAAGAAATCCTGGACGACTACTGGGTATGGCAAAGGAACCATGAAGATCTGCATCTGGAATACCTAACCAACTCACCAAATTCAGAATTTGAAGTAGATGATGAAGATCCTTCAGTCTACAAACCAGTCTTCTCTAAAGCCACGGAAGAGCAGGTGGTTCTCACTTCTGAAGCACAAGCTGACTTGGTAGCAACAGCTGAGGATTTCCAAATATTTCCGGAAACCTCACCTGCCTTTGAAACGGTTCTGACTGAAGCTGTCCAAGAAAAAGCAGCCTCTCCCCCACAAGAACAGAACCAGAAAACAGCAGAAGAAGAAGAATTTCAGCAACTAATCCAATCTCAAGTTTTAGAGACTCTCACAACTCCTTGTGAGATCTCCAATCCTACTGAAACTGAGATCCCGGAGAAGTCAGAAGAAATTCCGGAGCAATCAACTTTTCCAGAAACAAATGAAGAAGAGCAAGCTGTAGAAATCCAAAGGAATTCTGGAGAAGCTGAGAAAGAAACTCAAATGGCAGAACTGGAAGTCTCTAAAACTCCAATAGCCATTTTTGAAGAACAAAATGAAGCTGAAGATAGTGACTCCCTCTCTAGATATATATCGAATTTTGCTCTTGATGAAGCAGAAGGAGAATCTGAGAGAACACTAAAGATCACTGATGAAGAAGATGTACAAAAAGATGCTGAATCTCTGCCTATGCAACTGTTTCAAAGAACACCCTCTTCTCATCAGGTAACCAACTTTCATTTTCATAGCTCTTCCACCCCTACACTTTCGGATGAGATACCGGAAATCTGGACAAAGAAGGTCCAAGGGTTGATTGAATCAGCCCTAGCATCTCAACATGCCTCCTTTAGGCAAGAGATAGAGCAAATGGAAGCCAGGTACACCAAGCTGATAGAGAAATCTGAAGAGAAACACAGCGCAGATCTCAAAGATATAAGCAAGTCACTGCACAAGACTCTAGAGATCATCTCTCTATTGAGCAAAACTGTGAGCAACACGATGGAGATATATGCTTCTGACAGTCATCTTCAACTCAAGGAGATTAACAAAGTCAAAGAGCAAATAGCAAATGTCACTGTCAGTCTACAAAAGCAAATGTCTCTTCTTCAAATGGACATCAGATCAGCTCTAGCAGTATCTTCAGCAAATCAAGTAGTGACCAAAGACTACTTGAAGGTGATCATTGACAATCAGAAGGAAGCACATAAACTGTTCAGACTTCTTGGCGCAAAGTCTGGAAATCGCAAGATGGAAGTGATTCTTCAACAACACAGTCCATCCTTGATACCAGAACTCCCCATTGCAGTCAAAGAAGGAGAAGTCTCTTATATCCTTTCTCATCTGAACATGACTAATCTAATCCTTGAAGCACAACAAAGAAATCCGGAGAACTCAGCGCAGCACCTATCCAGCTCAGGATTGGATGGAACAGAGGCTATAGGAACTATTGCTGCTCACTTCTCAGATGATAACAAAACAGAGGAGAGACGCAACAATATAAGGCGCATCAAAGAACTTTGTGGCAACATGCAAGGTATCAGTAAGGCTGCCGGATCTTCAAAACGCAAAAGGAACTGAAGGTTCTTTTCATCAAACCAGGGGGAAAGTATGTGAAAACACTAATTTGCTTTGATGAAAACACCTTCTTGTTTAAACATTGCTCGATTGGTTTAAACATTGCTTCAACAATTCTCTTATTTGTGCTTATTATGCTTGATTATGCTTATCTCAAGTATGATTTTGAGAAATTTTGTTTCTGAAGCGCATACATTCAGGGGGAATGTAATTCAGGGGGAACTTAACTAGTTTTGGCTAATAACTGTTTTTGGTTATGAAATATTGATGAGCTCTAAGCAATGGAAGACGGATATCTCAGTTTTGGTACTAAAATTGAAAATCTCCGATTCAGGTACTTTACAAAATCTGCCTTCTTAAACTAAGCTTTAATCCTTAATTCATTTCCAACTAGCTCTAAAAGTACTGGTCCTTAGGATTCTTACAATGTACAGGACTTTGGAAAAATAGTACCACTTTTCTTTTAGAAATAAAATTCATATTTGTTTTGGTACTACCTCGTCCTAAGTAGAAATTAGGACTATAGGGAATGAAAAATGATAGTTTTATTTTGGGCCTTGAGAACCCAATAGGAATAATTTCCCTTTAGTACATAGCTTTCTTTTCTTTTTGGGCCACTCTTTTGGGCTTAGCCAAACTAAAACAGTTACGTTTCTCAAACCAAACGAAACTGATTTTCTAATTGGAACAGTTTCAATTCATTGGTAACTGGTAAAAGATTCCTTCCACTTTTCAACTTCTTGGAAGTTGAAACTTCTTTACTCTCACTGTTCCAACTACCCAATTAATGGAACCCGTGAACCTCCCCTCTCTCTACCTCCTATCTTATTTAAATCAAGACATTCCAATCCATTCCTATCACAAACAACTCTTTCAATATGAAAAGTCTTCAAACTCACTGTCTGAGAAACACATCAAGAAAAATATCCTCAATGGAGAAACTTTTCTTTCTCACCCTCATAGACGACAATGGAAGAAGCCTAATGAGAAGAAAAGACTTTCAAGGTCTATGGTGAGAATCTCGGCAGTAGAGAAGGCCTGTGGTGAAAATCTCGTATTTTTCAGGATTACACCATACACCTTCTCTGGAACAACACTCTCTCTATCTTTCTTCTTATTTTGAGAGATGTGTTGCTTCCAAGATCTTGAATATCCACTTTGGATATTAAAGATCTATCAAACGAAATGCCAACCGCTCTGCCAAGCAGAATCTGCTGAAGCTGAAAACGGTCAATGGTGGAAAATATCACAAAATCTCAAGACAAGACTTGGTTTAGGAATTATTGTAATTTGAATTGTATTTGTTTAATAGTTTTTGTTAACAAGCTGTATATTATGAGAAACTAAAAGAAAGTTATAAAATTAGTTCTCAGTACAGCGACCGGAACTCTTAAACACTTGTTTGTCATCATCAAAAAGGGGGAAATTGTTGGGAAAAATATAGATTTTGATGATGATGCATTTAGAATGTAATAGGGACTTTAGGTCTCCCCCAATATTCAATGTAATTTTTCTTTTTTAGAAATATTGTTAAAACCGAGTTCTTGAGATTTCCAATAAAGTTGTTATATTTCTTTAAGTGGTTTGATGCTTGAAGACTTAATCAAATTCAGTGATATGGAAATTGGATATCTTGATCGGAAATGTTAGAGACAAGTAAGGATCTCTCAGAGCAGATGGAAATCCTCCAATCCGGAAGACTACATGATAACCGGATGTCTCGCTACAACCCGATAAAAGCTAAGTCTCCCAAGTCGGAAGACTAACGCGGATCTCTTTCTCACCCGGAAGACTGAGAATGATTCTTCCGGATTTGTCAGCCAAGAACCGGATGCCTCAAGGAAGATCGGAATTCTCAAAAAGCGGACAAGTGAGAAAAGACTTAGAAAAATTATCTAAGTCTTGAATGAAGAAATTCTACCTGTTGGTAAGGAAAAATCAATCTCTTGATTTTCAATGGCTAGATTGAAGATAATTATGCTGATTCAAGAACAAATGACTCGAAGACAAAGTCTGGACCTCTAAAAATTGAAGAGCCTGTCCAGAATTCCTAAACAAGCACTAGAAGACAAACAGAGTAAAGTGCTACAGTTCTGAATTCTTGAACAACAGCTAGAAGACGGATTCTGTGGAAAAAGGAATCCCTCCTCAAACAATTGGGTATGTCCAAACACCCATTCCAATGAGGAATCTTCAAATCACAATCTTCATTCAAAATTGAAGCCAGCAAATGCAACGGATAGTCTATTATGATTCAACGGATAGATTATCCAATCCAGCTATAAATAGCA